GCTGAAAAGTGGCCTCCACTCTGGACAGACTACCAGGGAGAAACAAAATATGGACATTTAGGAGGCTGAAATACATTACTGAGGTGTCATTTAACGGCCAGTATGAACAGGATGCAGTATTACAGAGAAAAATCTGTTACTTTCATATTTATGGGGAATATTTAAACAAACCACTGAATCCCATGTTTTCTAGGTTTGGGTGTGTTTTTTCAAATCAGCTTAATATTATTTTTCTCATTGGCGGCTGCTGCTGCAATGACCACAGCATGACGAGAAACCTTTTAAATGTACACATGTGAATCAAGGGATTGCTGGAAATGGTAGGAAGTATTGGTTGGACGGTGGCCGCCCTGGCTTCGTGACCTGACGTGGGGCAGCTGGGAACTGATTTAAGCAGAAGGAAGCTTCACATTCCACCCTGTTACCCGTGTTTTCTTTTTTCTGAACTGGACCACTGGATGTGAGCACCGTTAGAACCGAGCACGAACATCCATGTGGAGCATTTCTACCCATTTTACTGTTGCTATTAACACCGTTCTTCAGTGGCTGTGGTGCTGGACTCTGTGAATCTGATAAAATTAGCACTATAAGCACCCTCATCCCTCTTGTCCTGGTCTCACCTTTGCTGCTGATACACGGGGAAGCAGCTAAAGAGTGGATGGTGTCACAGCAAAACAAGAAGCCTCCAGTAACAGACCCAGTTACCTGACATTCACCCAATGTGTCAGGGCTGGTGGAATGGTTTTAAGTCTTCAACTGGTGTGAAGTGACTGATGTGATCTTTAGAGAGGGAGTCATTTAGATGACTCTTTCCTCAACCTTCATTCATAAACCCCTGTAATTAGCACTGTGCCAGGCTTCACATTGTCTTAAAATGCTACTGTTGTGCCTCTCTAAGAGTGTCTAATCTCGTGACTGGGTTGAAGCACTTAGGACAATTCTCAAAAAGTTTGAATTTGATGTGTACCTCAGACCTGGAACTGTGGCTTTCTGCTTTATTTCTGTTTGCTTTTAGTTGTTTGGACTATTTTGGTGCCATTATATTGAAACTTTAAAGGTAGATTTGTTCTTTATGTAGTTGCAGACATAATTCAAACCTTCTACCTCTACATTGTCACGTAACTTTTGCAGCAGTCATTAGAAATTGTTTTAACACGAAGCAGTTTTTAGCACTGAAGAAGGGGAATTTTTCAGAAGTCATTCTGACGGCCTGCATATACACGTGGGCTCGAGTGCTATATTGGAGAGTCATTTCTGTACTTGCCTTTAATGATATTTCTACTTATTTACTACCTCAGATGAGACGGGAAGCTGTCCATCTAACTGCAGAGAAACTTCTCTGTGTAGTTTTATTTTTGTCACAAGCACATGTACTTTGTAGTTCTGTAGTTTTTATTGAAGCTAGCTGCTGCAGCTGATGCTACAGCCTGTGCGTTCACTGCTCGTGCCTCAGCCTGTTTAACACTTGTTTCGGTTAGGGATCAGGCCTCCGTCTAAAGGAATTTCACAACTCTTTATTGGAATGTTGAGATGAAATTGAAGGGAGCGCTGACGTGTTCCAAATAAATGTTCCTACAGTGAGCGTAGCAGATTGATCAAAAATCGAATAAGTCTCCAGAACACAAAACAAAATCAACAGTCGTATGGAACAATACATACGATACGTGTGAAGAACAATAAGCTGGACAGCCACAGAGAGGCTGTCCCAAATTTGGCATAATTGTTTGAGAATGTATGTTTGAAAAGTTTGCCAGCAAACACAGATGGTCTTCACGTGAGCTGTGACTACAACTGGTTGCACTGCTCGCTGCTCTGTCGGCCTCTGAAGCCTATCCCAGCTACCGTAGACCGAGAGGCGGGGTACACCCTGGAAAGGTAGCTTAAGCAACTATGGCAAATGTGATCAAACGCACTCCAGACTGATGGCGGAGAAGGGCAGAAACAAGGTTTCACCTCACTAATGACTGTGGTGCCTGCATTTAGCCTGGCTTTGAGAGCCAGTCCAGTGCAGGTTTAGCCACCTTAAACTTAGTTACTTTTTGCTTTAGGGATTTATATTCTAGTTTAATAGACTAGGAGACTGTGACAAGAAAAGGAGTTGTCATTTTCTAATTATCTGAACATAAAGTCATACAAAATAAAATCTTTAGATTTACACTGTCTGTGTCTATGTGCATTTTTATGGAAATCAAATTGCAAAGTTGGAGTATGTGTATTTAACCAGACTTGGAGTACCTTCATGTAAGCTGTATTTGTATATGTCTGTGAAGGTTCTCAGTCATCCAGGTCATCGTAGTCAAAGGAGCTTGCAAAGAAAAGCGTCTGGACTTCTTTAAGTTACTTGAAGA